ATTTTGAAAAGCGAAGCTACTCGAAAAGCACGTTAAACTGCTCTTCACATACTTTCCGAACAAACGCGTCTCCTTGTGCGTCATTTTGGTGACTTTGTATTTTGAATAGATGATATTATAAACGAGTACAGTAAATAATTGTATTTAAAAAATGCAGGGAACAATCATAGAAAATTTAAGCGGTAGAAAGCTTTCGGTACTTGTAATATTACTCGTTATCGCGCAAATAGTTTGTTTTCTAATAGGCGGGCTTATTGGTAAGTTAAGAAACGTCAAACATTTTTGTTACAATTGTTACAATTCTGACTATAGTTAAGTGTTAAGTTTGATTTTAAATGTATTAAGAAGATACCAGATCATATGTAAATAAATAGTTGTATATTTACTTTTTAAATTATTATTAAGGATAATTATAGAATTTATCTATTTTCTGTGTACAAAAATTGTATTGAATAAAAGTGATGAATTTATTTACTAATCATTCCAATTAATGAAATTGGTTACTACAAATGGCTATTTATAAATCTATTAACATATAAATAATATTTTAGCTCCAACTCCAGCTAGTAGCCAGAATGTGCTTGGTACACCTTGCAAAGATATTCGTATAAATGGATCTGAACCAGGAGGAGGAAAATGGTTTTATTCAAGGGGAAAAGGATCATGTACTCCTGTTGATATGAATCGGTTTAGCTTTGACAGTCACCATCAAGCATATCAAGTTGTTTATACATTTCAGGTATGTGTTCGAAATTAAGTTACTTCAAGAAATACAAATCATATTTAAATATTTATTATTTATTTTACAGATGCCTGTACCTCGAAGTAGCATGCAACTTGATTATTCTAGATGGCAACAAAACTTAATAGGTGTTTTGCAAGTGGATATTGTTTATCACAGCCAGATAGAAATTGGTGATGTATCAAAAAATATATATCTATTAGTAGATATCAGTTATGTATATTAACTGTCATTTCTTGTAGCTCCTAGGACTAAGATAACATTGGATGCAAGACTTGCTTATAGGAACAAAGGAGATCCAGATGATGCTTGGAAACCATATGCAGCCTCTGTGGTAGAAAGAATGCTAGATTGTAGTATTGATGATGTAAATATATAAAATAGCAGTTATAATCATATTAATTAAAGTAGATATATATTTATTGATATAGTTATTTTGCATAGGCAATGGAGCAGTACAATTACAACTGCAGTGTGGTACCATTGTTTGAACTTGGATCTCTATTTCATGATTATTATCTTCTAAATATTCGTCTTCCTGCTGATACTGATAGAAATATTAATCAGGGTTTGGGACATATAACTGATTTATGGTTCACAGTAAATATGTAGCATTTCAAATTTAATTTTTACATATATAAAGATTTGAAGTATTAAATTAGCATTTTTATATTTCAGGCTATCAATCAAAATGGTGGATTTACAAAAGTGTGGGTCAGTTTAAAGACTATTTACTTTCCAATCGTCCTGTGTGTTCTTACTTGGTACTGGAGACGAGTACATATGCTTTCCAGATCACCAGCTTTGTTGGAGTACTTACTTTTAGCATTGGGCATAGCTTTATCGTTTTTAAACAGTAAGTTGTATAGTTTTATTTCTGTTATATAAGAATTGACTATATATTTATGTTTGAATGTAATTCTTTTAGTGCCTCTGGAATATTTAACACTTGCCTATGATATGCCATTTATGCTTTTATTGGGCGATATTAGACAGGGAGTGTTCTATGCAATTCTTTTATCTTTTTGGCTTGTGTTTGCTGGAGAACATCTTATGGTATGTACATCAAATATATGAAAATAATTTGACTTTTTACATACTAATGAATTCTTTCTGTTTATGCATCACCTTCTATCACCTACAGATACAGGTAGGTCTGTCATAATATTTTATATGATTGTTTTGTCGTGAAAATGTGATTTTTTATTGTTTTCTAATTAGGAAGGTGAACAAAGAAATTCTCTAAAATGTTACTGGCGTCATCTTTCTGCGGTAGGCATTGGATGTTTATCATTGTTTGTATTTGATATGTGTGAACGTGGGGTGCAATTACGAAATCCATTCTACTCAATTTGGGTTACAGATCTTGGAACTAAATTTGCTGTATCCTTTTGCACTAAATATCTTCTTTCTGTGTTCGAACAGTTTGTATTCCTTGACGTATACAATAAATAGTTGTCTTTTATAATCTTAGCTGGAGTATCTGCTGGCGTGTACTTAATATTCTTGGCTTACATGATATGGAAAGTATTCATGAATATTAGTGCAAAACGAGCTGCATTACCTAGTATGAGTTCGGCACGACGTTTACACTATGAAGGTGTAATATATCGATTTAAATTTTTGATGATTGCTACGCTATTGTGTGCATCTTTAACGGTTGTTGGTTTTATTCTTGGTCAGGTATTTATTTCGATATTGTGTTTGTAAATATTGCGTTAATATTAACAATTTAATGTGCGAAGGAGAAATAAATCAGGACAGTGAGGAATGATGTCATTATACTCATAATATAGGTTGCGGAAGGGCAGTGGAAATGGGATGAAGAATTACATTTGGAAATGACATCGGCATTTTTCACTGGTGTATACGGGATGTGGAATATTTACATTATAGCATTATTGTGTTTATATGCACCATCACATAAACAGTGGCCTATTGAACCATCCGGTAACTATACTTCCTGTATATGTTTCTATATCTCTTTATTAATTATTTATTGTACCGTATTCTCAATTTGGTGTGAATTTAATTTTCTTTCAGAAAATAGTATTAGCGAAGAAATTGAATTTTCACGTTTATCTACTGATCCTAATGAAACGTTGTCTTTGACAGCATTCGCACGAAAAGCAGCATTAGAATAAGTAGTACACATTTTTTATAAGAAGTAGAACAGTGGTAACCGACCAGTCAACGCAATTTTGTACTTAAACTTAGCATGGAAAATTATAAATATGAATTAAGGACTTCCGATATTTATAGAGAATGCAAGGACTGATAATACTCTGACAAGTAATCTTTTAATGCCAAAATTAATTATTTATTATGAAAAATATTTTTTAAGCTTTACTTTTTCTATGGTACATTTACTTAATATTTTATATACTTAACAACTATTACTTCTAAGCGAAACGAATAGCGAGCCATATTATCTCTAGATTTTCTTCATGTTCGTCTTTGTACGTTATCAAATTAGAATAATACATAGGTATCGTTATTTTATAGAACATTCCATCTTAAATCTAAATATCTTCTATCGAACAATTCACATTACCTATTTTCGTTAACGATAAATAATCTATTCCGTCGTTTCATAGAACATATCAATATTGGGCATTTATCCATAATTAACATTTGTAAACGCGCATTTTAATGGTAGCTATATGATAGTGAACATGGGTATTTCAATATTATTTATTATTATTATACAAAAAGGATTAATCTACATTTGGCAGTATTAAGTTCCTTTCGATCAATATGTATAATATATATTTCATACATATTTTTACTAACTCTGATGCATTATTGCTATAATTATTAGAGTTTAAGACGTATGCATGCAACAAGGTAGACCTGAACAAAAAAAGGGTGCAATAAATTTGTAACAATTTAGTAGAATGAATTTAGTGCATATTACTTATGTAGAGTACTTATATTTGAAGCAGCAGAACTAGTATTTTCTATATCTTCAATGTATTGAATGAATTGTATTAATGAACAATAATCGAACAAATTTTGTATATTATTAATCATCATATTTTTGAAATAATTTTAAGAACACGGAGTAACTAAAATGTAACGTATTAATATTTTAACAAACTCAAATTTTTGTATATTTTTATTATTGAACTTTGGTATAGTATTTACCTCACACATTTTTCTTTTGTACATTAGACAAAATTTTATATTCGTAATTTTTATACATTTTTTAAATAAATCAATTTGTTAGAATAACTTTATCGAATTACTAAATATTATGATAATACCATATGCGATATATGTATATATATGTTATGTATATGTTAATATTCTCGTTGTAGATATGTCTTTTGTTTCAACGTTATTAAACGTCCAAGTAAAAGGCGAATTGTGCCACATTCGACTTGTCGAACCGTCCTCGCAATTTGTTTGTTTACAAGAATAATTGCTGTGTAATTGAACTATTTCCTCATAATTTTATTCGTATACGCGCTCATTTAATTTATCATAATATGTGTGTGAAGGGTTAATTTCAAATGTCAGATTTCTTAAAATTTAATAGATATTGGATTTTATATCGTTGGTTAAAAAAGGTATTTATAGGATATTTATAAATATTTTGTGTATTGTTTATATCTTATTATTATTTATATAAATATCAGAATTCTCATAATGTATTTAAATTCAAATTCCAGATATATGTCATTGATGTATACTATTTCACAGTGTTACCAGGAACTAGTGATTTTTTTATGTATTTTTAAAATTAAACATTAATCAATTCATATTCAAATTTATCCATAATCATCTTGTACTTATTTTCATATACGATAATTTTATCACAGATGTTTTGCGTATCTTAAAATCGTAAATACTTCGTGACGTAAGTGGTTATATATTGTACGTATATTGTAATCGTCTTATTTACGGAATACAACATTAATTTATTGTTTCATATATGTTTCGTAACGAAGTAAGTAATTCGCGTAGATAAATCATCTAATAATAAAATATAAATAAGTATTGGAATATGTATATTCTTTGAAATTTGAGAATATTTCTTTTATAAAATATTACCACATACATATATCTATTGGGTATGGAATTTGAATTTCGTAGTTTTCTAGAAAATGAAATAGCAGGCAATATTAGGTAGTTTATATGGAATTCGGTCTAATTCTAGTAATATTGGTTGACCGAAAGAACCAGCGGTGATTCGTTGGATCATAGCAGGGATTTTGTATTGTGCGCGCGCATTCACTGGCACAACGTGAGACAGAGGTAGCAGCAAGGAAGAGAGCAGTGCAGAAACGGAATCAGATGCAGTGAAGTCTGTGAGTTGACAGTGGGGTGCACGAGAACAGGCGTTCAGTAGTGGTGGAGGCGGAGGAGGTTTAGGGGAAAGAATTGTTTTCTGTGTGCGCGAGAAACGTGTCGACAAGTAACGAGTCTCTGAAAACGGGTCGTCGTTGGTGATGGTGAAATGATTCTCTAGCCCGAGGTTTTTGACTTGGTCCGGACGGACAAAAGAGGAAGACCTTTTGTATATCGCTGCTGTTCAAGAGACCGTACGTTTGTTCATCCGTAGAAAACATCATTAAACGCTGACGTCGCGGAATTCGTCCCGTGTCGTTTTCCTTCGTGGCGAGCGTCCGAACATCCAACGACTGACTTAGCGACCATCACGCGCGCGTGTCTTTGTTTTTTTTTCTCGGTGCTGAATAACTGTACGAGGAAAACAGAGAGAGTGTGTTATATCACAGTGGTGAAAAGACCGATACGTTTCGTGGGTTTCTGCTGTGGTAAATAATCCGTAGCAGTCAGAGGCCCTTCCTAAACGACGATCGAGCTCAGCTGATTCAAGGACTTGCTGTTGAAGGGCTCTGCTGCGTTAATAGACGATAAATATGTCGTCCCCCAGCGCTGGAAAACGACGTATGGACACGGACGTTCTCAAATTGTATCCTTGAAATTCACTTTTATTTCTCCTACTTGCTATTTGTATCTCTGTCTTCTTTTTTCTTCTCCTTCTTCTCATCCCCACTTCTTTCTCTCTTTGTCTCTCTCACCCTTCTCCTCCCTCACCACTCTGCTCGTATCCCTTCCCATTTTCTTGTTCTCGTTCTTTCTTTCTCTTTCGCTCTATCGCACGTGCTTGCAATCGAGTGCAAGAGAGGCCTGCACATGGGTTTGCGAATGCAAGACCTACGCAGTATGCATGTGCATGTTACCGCGGGATCGGTTGTTTATCATGTATGATCGGTTTATAGGTCGACGAGAAATAACGCGGTGCAATGTCAATGGTGTTTCACGAGACGATGAGGGATATTTAATTCCTCGTTTTGTCGATGACGGGACACAGCTGTTTTTAACCAGCTGACTCTACGTCTCTGTGCTACGTGTGTGCGCAGCTTTATCTTATTCGTTTAATAACGCACGGCGAGTGTATGCTACACGGTCGTGGCTTTTAAAGGTTAGATTTCATTTTTGTTCTTCAGTTCTTTGTTTCATCTTAGTCTTTCCATTTTGTCTCGTATCGCAGATTTCACTAACGAATTTTTTAATGTCGAGACCGTTTGATTCGAATCGACTCGTATTTGAAATATCTTTTATATTTATACATACATTGGCAACCGTAAATATTTCAAGTTGCGCGTCAAGTAATGGCATACACATACATATATATATATATATATATATACATATATACATATATATATATTATATATATATATGTAGCGTTGGTTTGACATAGAGTGAAGCGCAACTAACGATAATTGAGACGTCATCAACGTGTTTCAACCTCAACCGAGTAGTTCATGGGAATAACGCGATGTGTCAAATTTTACACCGATAATAATACGTAAAAACGATAAACAATATGAATGAGGAGTAAGAGGAGAAGAAAGGGCAATAAAAATAATATAGTTACAACAATGTCGCGATTTTTTCTTTTCATACAATGATATCTTGGATAAATCGCGTGACAATTAGTTAGTGACTAATAATTTCTTAACCCTCCACGGTAAATATTTGAGTTAGGTGGGAAGAACGATGACGTTTCTCATCGCTTCTAATCGTCGTATTTACAGATAAAAAAGATCAATTGTTTTAATATCACGCACACCTCCTAACGACTATCCTAACGTTCTTTTAATATTATCAATGTCATAGAATTCGTTATTTCCAACTTTCGTTTAATCCTCGATGTAACAAAATAATACTGACACAAAAAATTAAGGTATATAATAATTCATAATTATAAAGACAAAAGAACGAATTACAAATATACCTGTACATGTTTGTATGTGACCTCGATTCGTAAGAAATTGATTTTTGCGTAACGTAACGTCGCGTCTCGCTTATCATTGCTGTGCAGACGTTCATGTACGAATGCTAGTCAGTTTTTCTAGAACGATGATAGTCTCTCTCTCTCTCTCTCTCTCTTTCTATCGAGTTCTTTAGTGCCCCGTAACATCGATCAGTCTTTGTTGAAGCTTACATTAAATTTGCAAGCGTTTCGGTGAGCAAAGTGAATTGGACTTGTTCGTTCTTTCCTCCTTCGATAGAGATACCCCCTGTGAGTTTTCAAATTTCTCGAAAGGCTTTCTCTCGATTCGTTTACGCGTACTAACGTTAGTAATAGTCCATTTTTGGAAAGGCATCTGCCTTTGTGTAAACACGTTTCTTAGAAATTTCGTTGGCGTTTATATATCTTCACCGTTTACTTACGTGTTCTTTGTTGTTTTAGGAAAACTCGACAAAATTTGTATTTATTTCTGTTTGCGGGGTAAATCTCTCATTTAGCACATTTTTCACTTATATTTGTAGTATTTTCATCTTTGCCTGTATTTTGGTATTAAAGATTTCCTTTTTATATTTTCTTTCAACCTTAAAAAGATATTTAAGAACAATTCGATCGAAAGTATCGCGATATTTTTATAAAAAATAAAAATAGCAGAAAGTTACACGGTTATTTACTTTAAAAGAAAAGGATTGTTTGTTTGCGTAATAATGAAAACATAAAAAGATTTCAAGCGAAGCTAAAAGAAATCGATGCAGGTCTGCTTCAACGGGAACTTTAAATTCTCGCATTTCAAATTCAACTGAATTTATACGGCGATTCGATCAGATAAATAAAGTTAGATAAATATTTCCATTTTAATAACGGTGAAAGCGGACTGTATGCGTTATAGAATCCGTATTAATAGCGACTTCGTGATAAATAAGCCGACAGTCTGACTCGTTATTTTTTTTTCACCCGGATTCGATTCAATCAAAACATATTCTCCAAAGGAGACGTTCACATCGAAATAGATTGAAAGCCGAATTGACTGTTATCTCGTGAAACGGAAATGTGGGAGGAACCGGATGCGTATCGCGTACAAATCCCTCACTCTCTATTTTAAGTTCTTTCTCTTCCTCTATACTTAAGTCTCATCTATTTCATAAACATTTGTATTTTCTACATTTTTCCTTCTCTCGTTCTTAGAGACTTAGGATTTGCCTCGTTAAGTTCTGACATACTTCTTCCTCCGATACGTCTCTTTTGAGAAATTTTTTATTGGCATTACTTGAAATCTGGTAAATTAATTCCTGATCGTGTTCGTCTCTTTTTTCCTTTAATTTGCACAAATTCGAATTGGTTTTTAATAAATTGTCTTTCCGTTTGGAGAATCAGTAGCTACTGGTAAAACTTATTTTTTTGGAAAAATTCCTGGTAAATTAGTTTTCAGTAAACTAGTGTCGGCACAGTATTTTTCCATACGGTTTCGATCGAATCTTCTTGAATTTTTTTTTTTTTTTGATGAAATGTAAAGTAGTAGTAGAGTACGAGTAGAACAGCTAAAGTCGACTCTCGTAGTGGAATGGAATCTTTGATCGAAATAACTCGAAGGTATTTGCACATACTTTGCTCTTTACTCGAGTTTCTTTTATCGCGTGAATTTCTATGCTTTTGTATTTCGTGTACGCGAAGAGTAGAAGCGTAGGTATTCGTTTTTTAAGATTTTATTAGGAAGCGTGAAACGGTTAAAACGCTGGTAAAACGGTTAAAGTCAATTAACGTTTACGACGAAGGAATGTTTCGTTACACGTTAATTTGAAATATATCCGTTTTATCCGCTATTCCAGTTCTATCGGTTGTTCGTATTTCGTTCTTATTATTTTGTATTATTTTGACATTGTACAGAAAAGTACGGTCGGTATAGTTCTATTAAGAATTGCATTCGTTAGCATAGGAAGACCATTTGAAATATTAATATTAACGACTAACGTTTAAACGATAAAGATAGTGAATAGAATATTAATTAAAAGTATATATGTACATACATCAACACATATAATATTCCTTGTTGCGTAACTTCTTAGTGTTTCTGTAGATTTTAAAAAGTTACCAAGCTCCCTATAATAGGCGGTGTATAATGTTGTTGACACAAATCCAGCCGCATTGAAAAACGCTGTTCAATGTATTGTAAAACGTACGATGTATTAGAACATTCATCGTACGATCGCAAAGTGTCACCTTGAACGCCTACATGACACGAATGACAAAGTTTGTTTCTTCTTTTACGATTGCAATTGCATATTTATATGCAATTTCGATTGATCTAACGTTACATTTATCGTTCGATCTATGCATTTTCATTCGAATGTTTTTCGATGAATGGGAAAAGAGGATCAATAAATAAGCGACAATTTTCCATATTTATTATTCTTCTTTCAATTTAGTAGGAAATATTCATACGAAAGACAAGGTTTCCATTCTGGCAAACAACGCTTCATATATCGTTTCTAAAATACATATATAAAAACATAGCGTTTAAAGAGTTATTATGCAATCGTTATTTTTCTAAGATTAAATATCCTCGTATAATCGTTCTAAATAACTAAATATTCTGGTCATTTCCCAAATCAATCTTTTTACATAGTATAAATATATACAGGGTGGTACAAGCGGAAACGGAAACAGGGGGTGATACTACGCGAAAAAAGAAGTGGAAAATATAGAATAAAAATTTTTCGTTCGAGGCTTTGTTTTGGAGAAAATCGCCTTTGAATTTTCGCTCGTTACGCGTGCGGTACGTTATAACGGATCTCACTGTAAATCGTTGTCTCGATTGACGTTATTTCTTTAATTTTTAAAATTTTTAAATTTTTAAACTTTTATCCTATATTTTCGACTTCTTTTTTCGCGTAGAATCACCCCCTTCCCGCTCGTACCACCAGTTACCAACCACCCCGTATATATATTACTTTATTCCATCGAATTTTATCGAAATATTGAATTTTCCCGCGTTTTTACGCGTTACGACGCGACAAGTATTAAGCTCCGTTCACAAAGTACCGTTCGTCTCCCGCCGTTCCATACACATACATTGCGACAGACGACACCCAGGCAAATCGAACGATGTAAAGAATTCAACACAATCGTGTAATCGATTTTAATCGGTAGACCGCGGCTTTTCGTTCGTTTGCAGGAAATTTGAAAGTATAAAATCGCACAGAATGCGAGCAATAGAATATAAAGAGAATATATAAAATATATATATAAAATATTCGAATCACAGGTTCCATCTTTTAATTATATCCTGAAAAATATGAATTTGCATAAAAATGCGTACCTACCAGTCACCGTGATGCAACGTTATCGCGACTTTTCTCATTCCACGACGAATCACGAATTCGATGGATGCATCGGACGCGTTGGACGGTTCGCGTTGCTCACATGCTCCGATGGACACTGTGGCGGGAACTGTTGGTATCGTATCGCTGAAAGGGGATGAAAGTTCATTAAAGTAAATTTCGTTTGCGGATGTCATGTCGTTTCGCTGCTAACGATATAGTTGCGGTAAATTGCGTTCACGGAAACTGTATATATTCAGCCAATAATTTCCATTAGTCCGGCTCTCTAACGGTGTGGCCAGGTGAGATACACGCAGATGCGGTCCCGGAAGTGAT